CACACGCACGCACACTCACACTCTGCTCACTTTCCTCCCTGCTTCTCATAGATTCCAGGTGGCAGGGACCGTGACCATGTTTTCACTAATGAAAACCAATTGCAAACTCAAAAACGTCAAATTTGGTTGAGTCTGGTGAATTTCTCAGTGCCCTCGGTGTGCTCACGGGACGTGAAGTTCCAAGAGGGCAGTGGAGTGAGCCCCCGGCTCACGTCCAGGCTGCGTCCCTTCAAACCCATTATAGGGGACCCTCGTCTATGGCAGTCCCTGGAGATTCATGTGCCGACGTGACTTGTACCAGGTTATAGAGCCGAAGCGACATTGATGGTTAAACTTGACCTGCTATCATTACTTCGTGGGTGGAAAAGGCAGGGAATTGGTATTATGCCAAAGATTTGGTGGGGCGGGGTGTGAGACACCCACAGGCCATTTTTCCAGCGGCTTCTTTCCTAGCTCTTCTTATTCTGGGGCTGAAACACTGAAAATTGAATCTCCCAGATTTCACAGCCAGATACCTTCGGGACCAGGCCTTCCAAAAAGAGGCACTGGCAGAACGTGGGAAAGCTGGAGGAAAAGAGAAAGTTTACTTTTGAACAGTTTGAGTGTTTCTGACGGCAGCGGCGTGGCCGCGGACCGGCCTGGTGTCCACGGGAGCCTCTGGGGCCTGGCAGCGGCGCCCCTCACTGTGCTCGCCCCAACGTCGGGCCTTCCGGCGGCACTGACACCGGCCCCCGTGCACAGCCGCTCTGTCTGGACCCCTGCGGTGGCCTCCGCTGCCTGACCCGACACTGGCTGACACGGGGTCAGGGTGGGGAAGGCAGTTCTGTCTCCCAGCCAGACGCACGAAGGCGGAGACCTCTCTGTGTGATGTCGGCATCAAGAAGAAAACGATGAGAGAAACTCGCAGGGCAGATGGAGTCATGTGTCAGGGACAAAACCGTGAGCGAAACCAGCGTCCGGCATGAGCCCCGATCCATCACGGTGACTCTGCAAGTCTCCCCACCGTCAGGGCCTGGCCGTCCTCAAGGCCCACGGACACCGAGCGAGCTGACCCAGCCCGTGCCCTGTGTGCGCTTTGCCAGCGCAGCTGCGGACAGGCTCGTCCCAGCTCTGGGCTGGACTGTCCCCCAGAACCCCATGCGAGTAGAGGATCTGGAGCTGCCACTACTCGGCAGCTACTTATCCACCCTTGTCCCGGAGGCACCGGGCCGGGGAGCAAGCTCACACAGTCACGCGTACAAATAACGGTAGCGCTGAGTGACGCAAGTGCCACCACAGAGGCCCGAACTGAGGCCTACGGTGAGCACCGGGGGCGGAGGCGGCTCTGTGGGGAGCGGCCCACGGGGCTCACGGGGCCGCATGCGAGGAGCTGGGACCACACTGTCACCCTCAGGGCACTTAGAAGCCACACGAGGCTTTTAAACTAAAAAGGGATAAGAAAGTGTTTTAAAACTTGACATATATAAATATCGGAAATATTTGTTGAGGGTTGATGTTATTTGAAGAGGAAAATATTAAGCACTTCACACTATTTTTACATATCTGTCGCCCCATCAGTGGGACACCCAAGACATGATAAGCAAAAAGGACGATCTCAGGAAACTGTCGTAAGAACGACACGGCCAGGTTGACGGGGACGCTGCCGAGAAGAAAGACCGCGGGAAGGACTGAGGATGCAGAGGCAGGAGGGCTGCGATATCTCTGCGAACTCTCTAGACTGGAGTAATATTTTTAAGTTCCAGATATTACTGACTTGGAAGAACACTGGGAAATAATAATAGCTTATGGATATAAAGAAGCTGGAAATGTGATTCGACATTGCATGAGAAGCAAGTTATAGAAATATATTCAGAACTCATTTAATTCCTGCACATGATCGGTGACAAAGGAGCGGTGGCTTAGAGATCTGGGAATGTGACTGCCTGGGAAACTAGGTAGAATTTTCAAAGACAAATGATAAAAATGCCGGTAAGCTCAGCACGACTCTGAGCCGCATGTAAAGGAGGACTCGGTCCAGCGGAGGGTTTAAGCCTCCCAAACAACCCTGGGATAAACTGCACCTCATATCGCATTTGCCTTTGACTGGCATGATTTCGAAAAGATGGAGAAGAATCGAATGGAAAACTAAGAAAAGCAGCTTGGTATTGAGGAAACTGATTTATGAAAAATATTACAGAAACATAATACGTGTAACTTTGCCAAGAGATCACTACGGGGTGATGACAGCCTAGGAGTATTTGGAAGGGAAAAACACCCGGTGGGGGCAGGGGTCCTTGGGCATGCTACGAAAAGCTGTAATTCTAGTTTATGGAGTGAAATTAGAAACAAGACTCAAAGCGTTCAAAGCCGCCTTCCTCGGGATGGAGACCTGTCTTTGGAAACATGAGTGTGACCTTGGGACTTCTGAGTGCTTTCATCTGTGGTTTTACTTTTATTTTTAAAACTATAACCATCATAATGAACAGACAGGCATCTCTTCTTGAGTGTAAGTACAAGGAGCACTTGAGGATTTGGTGTGCTTGGCACAGGGTCCCAGGGCTCGCTCACTGCTGGGTGGCAGAACACGAGGCACACCCGCCTCAGGCGAAGGGCAACGTCCCGCGGGACCACGGCCCCCGGTGAGCAAGCCTCACTCGCGGGGGGCTCGCCTGAACGTCCAGGAGCACGGTGCGTCACGGGCTGGGCTCACGGCACGAATGTGCCCGATTCAGGTGAGAACAGACGCGTTAACTAAGTCTGGGCTGTTCGGTTTTGTTTTAGAGTCTACATGTAAGTATTTGTCTTTCTCTGACTTATTTCACTTAGCATAATGGCCTCAAGTTCTATCCAGATTGTCAAAAATGGCAAAATCTTCATTCTTTTTCATGGTTAATATTCCACTGTATATACATACCATCTCTTCGTTATCCAATCATCTATTGATGTATTGATGGACACCCAGGCTGCTTCCGTATCTTGGCTATGGTAAATCGTGCTCCAGTGAACACAGGGGTACATATATCTTTTCAAATTAGTGTTTTTGTTTTCTTCAGATAAATATCCAGAAGTGCAATTGCTAGGTCATATAGTTCTATTTTTAATTTTGGGGGGAACTGCTATACCATTTTCCATAGTGATTGCACTAATTTACAATCCCACCACTTGCTGTTTGTTGATTTATTGCTGATGGCCGTTCTGACAGGTATGAGGTAACATCTCACTGTGGCTTTGATTTGCATTTCCCTGATAATTAGGGATGTTGAGCATCTTCTCACATGGCTGTTGGCTGTGTGTCCTCTTGGAGAAATATCTGTTTAGGTCCTCGGCCCATTTTGTAATCAAATTGTTTTGCTATTGAGTTGTCTCAGTTGCTTGTGTATCTTGGATACTAACCCCTTATCAGATTTATGATTTGCAAAGTCTTCTATTCTTTTCATTTTGTTCACGGTTCCCTTTGCTGTGCAGAAGCTTTTCAGTTTGATGCAGGCCCACTGGTTGCTTTTTGCTTTGTTGCCAGCCGTGGCATTCTTAAAGGGTCCAGGCTAGGTGTGTAGGCACCTGCCACCCAGGTGTGTCCGATGTTTGTTTGTGGCAGATCACAGATGCGTTGATCTTTCTTGGGTGCCCGTCAGGGACCCCACAACAGGGATGTTCCCTCTCGGCCCTTGTCCTTTTGTGATGAGTAAGAGACCTGTAAGGGACCCAGTAGCCCAAGGTCCCACCTGGTCAAGTTCAGAAGCCGTGAAAGGCACCGGGAAGAGCCAACGAAGAGACAGTGACTCAAATGGTCACAAATTAAGGTCTGGGGGAGCAGATGAGAACCCCAACTGAAGAGAAGCAGGGCCACCCCTCCCCACACGAGGACAGGGTCTCCGGACCTGTCAGCAAATGTGCGCGCAAGGAGAGAGGCCTGCTGGAGGGGGCTCCACACACGGCGTCGGCCCTAAGGCGAGCTTCCTGAATCTCCCTGGCCACAGGAGGGGGGCTGCTCAGGGCTGTGGCAGGGTAGACCAGGTGGTGGCATGAGCTTGGCGAGGGCGAGGAGTGGCCGGGGTGGTGCGTGCAGACTGGGCGCTCCTGGAGGTGTTCGTGAGGTGCGGCTCTCGGCAGTGGGTGCTTTCCAGCCTGGAGCGGCTGCAACGGCTCATCGCAACCTGCGTCCACCTCGGACTGTCACTCACGTGACACGTTCTTTAAGGAGACCTGGGTGCTTCCGTAATGAATGTTCGAACGAGCTGTGCATCAGCACCGTCAGGGCAGCCTGGTGTGGCTTGCTGGCGGGGTGTGGTTTGGGCACGCGGTGACAATTAGGGCACACTACAGCCCTCCTGGTATATGTGTCACCCTCGGGAAAGTGGGGGTGTGGCAGACACCGGGGATCCACAGGGCTGGGGGTCTCGCTTAGAGCAGAGGGCCCGGCCTACACGGGCGGCCCCGCTCCAGGCCCAGCCCCCTCCGGGCCTCCCTGATGCCTGGACGTGCCCCCCCGTGAGCCACACAGAGCCCTTGCACAGAGCCACACTCCGCAGGGCCCGGGGAACCCAGCCTGGGGCCTCCTGGCCCCGGCCCACGCGGTTCCCACCCTCACGTCCAGCAGGCACTCGAGGGGATCCACAGGATCAGCACATACAGCTGCATGACCGGCCATGTGCCAGCACTGGCCGGGGGTGTCAGGGGAGGGAAATGGCCGCTGGGCCCTGGCCTCTCCAAGCCGAAGTGTCCTCAGTGCAAACAGGGGTGGGCACCGTGCAGACCCTGGGGCATAGAGCTGTGACCATGCAGTCAGCAAGGGGGGGCAGTGAAGGCAGCGGAAACGGGGTCCTGGCTCAGAGCCAGAAAGCGGCCAGGCCCAGGTCTGGACACAATCCAAGAAGGTCCCGCCTGGTGTCGCCGGCTGGAGTGAGCAGCCCATCCCTGGAGGCGTGAAGGAAAAGCTGCAGGGCCCGTGGCAGAGGCGTGGTCGAGGCGTTCGGTGGATGCAGTCAGCAAGGGGGGGCAGTGAAGGCAGCGGAAACGGGGTCCTGGCTCAGAGCCAGAAAGCGGCCAGGCCCAGGTCTGGACACAATCCAAGAAGGTCCCGCCTGGTGTCGCCGGCTGGAGTGAGCAGCCCATCCCTGGAGGCGTGAAGGAAAAGCTGCAGGGCCCGTGGCAGAGGCGTGGTCGAGGCGTTCGGTGGCGAGGGGGGGGGGGCGGCTTCCAGAACCTTCCTATGGCACCGCATGTGGGAGAGTGGAGGGTCTCGTCTCGGTGGGCTGCCCACACGCCCCTTCCTTACCGTCTGCGATTCTCCCAAGATGCCCCCGACAGGCCGTGGAGACCCCTCACCTTCAACCCGCCGCAGCTCTCGGTGGCCGAGGGAGAGACGGCCACCTTCACCTGCAGCTTCTCCAACACGTCTGAGCACTTCGTGCTCAACTGGTACCGCCTGAGCCCCCGGAACCAGACCGACAAGCTGGCCGCCTTCCCTGAGGACGGCAGCCAGCCCCGCAGCAACCGCCGCTTCCACGTCACGCGACTGCCCAACGGGCGGGACTTCCAGATGAGCGTCCTGGCGGCCCAGCGCAACGACAGCGGCACCTACCTCTGCGGGGCCATCTCCCTGCTTCCCAGGACGCAGATCAGCGAGAGCCCCCGAGCAGAGCTCACAGTGACAGGTGCGGGCCCCTGCGGGCTGGGCAGCGCAGGGCGGGGCGGCCTGTGGGGCGCCGTGCGCAGGGCTCTGGCCCAGGCCCAGGCCGCAGACCTCGGTGACTGGCAGCACCTCAGACCCACTTGTCCTCAGGGAGGGGCAGGTGGCAGACGCCGCCAGGGATGAGGTGAGACAGGTCAGTGCAGGTCTAGCCCTGAGGCCCCTCCGAACCTGGAGAGGGCCGGGCAGGACCCCGAGTCCCAGTCCCCGAGTCTCTGTCCTTTCTCGTCCCCAGAGAGAATCCCGAAGCAGCCCACCGAGGGCCCCAGCCCCTCGCCCCGGCCCACGGGCCAGCTGCAGAGCCTGGTCATCAGCATCACGAGCATCCTGGTGGGCGTCCTGCTGCTGCTGCTGCTGACCTGGGTCCTGGCCGCCTTCCCCAGGGCCACGAGAGGTAACGCCCGGCCAGCCCCGCCAGTCTGGGCCGGGCAGAGCCGGAGGCACCGCCTTCAGCCCTGCCCACGAGCCCCTCCCCACCTTCCTTCATCCTCTTCCTCCACTGCCCTCCACAGTGATGAGCCCCCAGGGAAGCGGGGACTGGCCCTGCCAGGATCTGGGGTCCTTCAGAGACACTGGCCTTGTCCCCTCCCCCTTGCCTGCTCCTAGGAGGGGGCTGCGAGGAGGGGCAGTGGGGAGAGCCATGCCAAGGTCACACAGAAACGTGAGGAGAGCCCCCCCGAGGCTCAGCCACCTCTTCTGGCTGCATCAAGGCCTCCCCCAAACCTCAGGCTGCACCTCAGGCCACAAGACATTGTGAAAGTGCTTCTAACAGTGCTGGGCACCTGTGGTCACAGCCACAGCCCCAGGCGTGTGCTGTGACACCCACTCAGACAGTCTAGAGAAATTTTGTGGATGTCCCACCCCCATGCAAACAACTCCTCCCCCAACTAGGCCGGGGTGAGAGCTGATCTTCCTAGAGCCCCTGTCCAGGGTCAGGTCAGCCTTTCCTCAGGCTCCAGCACCAGCGGCTTCAGGT